AGGTAGTTGCATAGCAACCATCTTGGCGCCTAAATTTTAAGGGTGTAAATTAGATTTGTGCTCAAAATGTGGCTGAAAATGTAATCAGTGTTTTTCCTCTCAGTCTCTATAACAGCTTTTGACAGCATTTCTATTGGTGCTGCAGTTGTTACCGTAGCATATCTCCCCTACAGAGTGGTGTTAACGCTCGATTAGACGCTGTTGACAAACTGAAGGGAGCCTGTGGTTTGTATGCTTTCTCTGTTTGACCGCTGTCAGCGTATGGAACACGGCTGTCAGCCTCTGTCAGTAGCCCTTCCCTCAGCCCGCCGGTGACCTTCTCGCCCACATGTGGCCCACTGCCAGACAGGTAGTGCTTAAGCTAGAGCCGGACATCACACCCCTTTGCTGGCTATTAGAGGGTTAATCTACTTACAGAAAACCTCTCTGTCTCCTCTTTCTCTTGTTTTCTCCCTCCCTCTCCCTGAAGTTGATGTGTTGCCCTTTCATACTGACCTAAGGTCACTTTGTACAGCTCTTACAGTGGAGGCAGTCCTTGAACTGTCCAGGCTGTCTATCATTAAACTGATCAAACAGAGTAAAATCTCAGTGGTCTTCCGTAAAAAGTGTCGTTTCCTTTTGTCTCTGTGGACAAAAATATGGTGGCCAACACAGCCCAATGCATTGCAAACATGACTACATCTGAGCTTCATTTCACAAATGCACTTCAATATAAGAACACATGCAGCTTCACAAATACTGCAAAGCCAGTCACAACACAATGGAAATGTTTCTGGAAGACTCTCAAAAGAGGACGGAATATGAGTGATGAAAGTCACCGGCCATTCAAACGTTTTGCAAATGTTATGTGCATGTACACAATTTTTGGCGGAAAAACGCAAATCAAGTTGTGTTTCCATCCACTGCAGTTACGCGAAGAAATTTTAGACGACGTAGGCTACCATGATTTTAATTCTTACCCGATTTTCTCCCCAATTTAGTCGTCTCCAATTCCACCCGCTAGTTAGGACTCCCCCAATCACACGATGCTATCAACGCTAGGAGGGTGAAGGCTAACACAGGCTTCCTCCGAGACCTGTGAAGCCAACCACCGCTTCTTTTCGAACTGCCGCTCACGCAGCGTCACTGGACAGCCGAACGCGCTCGGAGGAAAGCGCCAACCGCCAGATCTGTTACGTCAGCTAACAGACGCCTGCGCTGACTAGCATCCCGCTGAGTGATGGGGGGAGAAGGAGGGGCCATCCTACCCACCCAGAGAGAGCGAGGCCAATTGTGCTCTCTCGGACTCCCGGCTACGGATGGCTGTAGCATCACCAGGGATCGAACTCGCGATCTCCTGATGAGGCTACCATGATTGTGTCCAAACCAGCAAGGTGGAGGGACTGAACTCAGTTTTTGCTTTAAGCAGAATTATCTTTATAGCCATTTGTCATCTTTTTATGATCGTGTCAGTTGCAGCTCAGAGACACTGGGCAGGATGAGCAATGGCCCACCTAATGAGGGCTGAAATCTCCGTGCCACCCCGACGATGTCCACCTTGTATCTGGGAACGCAAACGCCCCAGACAATTCCGGGAGCACGTTGTGAGGTCATTTTTCAAACAAGCTTTAGATTTGGGATTTCAGAATGTCGAAAGCAACCTTCAATGAGCTACACACCATGATTGGACTGCTTAGAGTCCTGGGATCATGTGATTTATGGCTCTGTATGTCATTGTTTATTCGAAAAAGCCTATTCCGTTACTGTTTTCCACATTGCGGCTTTAGCAATATTCTATCTTTTCCATCATATTTGGGTGTTTCTTTTTCAAATTTCTGTTTTTTTTTCCATTCAGTTATTTTATTTTTTTTTACGCTTAACCAAAAACTGGTGGATGGAAAACCCACAGACTCTCACATTCCAGTAAATTAATGGCTAACTCGGCTGGCTAGTTAGCTATCTGACCTGTCATAGCTTTACTACAGTAGTTATTAGTCATATCTGCTATTGCTATTTGAAATTTTACAGTTAAAGTTCTTTACACACCAAATGTGATGGCGGAGCAGCTGTGCTGCAGCAATAAGAACTTTTCCACAAAGGCTAAAAGAATCTCTGAAAGCAGCACAAACTGGACTATAAACTTTTTAGACATAGAAATCATCCTGCACAATGTCACAGCTGGGGAGGAGCAAAGGACCTTTTTTGGTATGGGTGATACATATTTTGCTAGTATATGTTTTTTGATATATATTTTACCCACATTTTTTTTGTTTTGTTTTCTGAAGTGCATTTGTGATGCAGAAAGTATTTTCTTTTTCTCTTCTTTTTTGCAGTGCATGGGGTCTTGAAGTGATAATGTGCACCATTTTTTCACTTTTACAGGCTAGTTCATTAGAACTTGCTAGCATTTTGCATTCAGTACAGGTTACTTTTGTAAATTAATACTTACACCATCATTAGGCGTGCTAGGAATAGTGTAGGCTACAGTATTGGTTATTAGTCATTGAACTGCTCAAGCATTGATGTTGTTTTGGTTTTGTGCTGAGTTGACTCTGGCCCACAAAACAATTTGCTTCACTTGCATTCTTTATAGCCCCCTTTAATCCACTGTTACAACAGAAATTATCCATGGCAATTCCTGCTTTCCAGTCTGCACCACTGATAGACGGTTTCTGTACAGCATGTAGGCCCAATTGAGTTTTCTAGTGTGGCCTAATGTATGTTCACCAAGAATAATAGTACTTCACACACTCATTATGTTAAATTATATCTCATTGGAATACTTCAGCTTTTAATTACTCGAATCACCAATCCGTTCCTTTCTTGTTTTTATATTGTTCTTCTTTCTTTATTAACCACATGTACTAATTAAATCACTTCACAATCTTCCTGAAATAAAAGCTCTGAGCCCTACTACTGTAATTCTGCTCCTACACATTAACCAGCCCAGACATGTCAGCTTTGAAAGCATTTTTAGTCATTTTGCTGTAGTTATTGGTCAGTGGGCTGTCTGATATTCAAATCGTCCTCACAGAGGGCAGTAGGTCAATACAGAAATATAATATACAGCCATATGTGCACATATGTCTTCAATGATCAGCCATATAATTTTAAAATGTCACATACATGAACACACATTTGACTAGTATATGTTATGATGTCTCCACATGTTCACATGTATGGCATATATGGAAAATCAATACATGCCATATATTACTTTTTTGTTGGGAGTTTAGTCCCAAAGGAGTCTCCAGTTCCAGGCATTTGAGTCATTAGTACACTTGAGGTTCAGGAGCTGACTCCAAAACTGGGACTCGATTCTACAGACATGTTCATGTTTAAGTGAAATAATTTGCTGTTACTGTTTAGACAGCCAGTCTGAAAAATGCATCCTTCCACAACACCAGGTGAATATATCGATGATTTTGCTTTGGCCAATATGTGGAGTAAAAGTAAAATGTACAACTGTAACAACAAAAAACTGGCTTATTATCAACTTTAAAAAGTGCTGAAACATCCACCTACCCAAAAGAGCTGACAGAGAAGAATCAGAATGGTCTAACTACGCTCAGTCAGGTTAATTTGGCTAGCGTGAGCTCACCAAACTGTCTTGCTATGGTCAAATAGGCCATGTGATTAAACTGACTTGTGTCCCTGAAAAACAACCAATGTGGTAGCAAATTAGGTTCATATGTCAAGATCCTTTCATTCATACCATCAATCCTACTAGCGTACTTAACTGCTGCTCAACTTCTTCCAGTTCAGCGGCAGTTTCCCACTTCTGACACCAGTGTGGTGGTGGTGCAGAAGAAGACTGGTCCACTATCCTGCTGAAAAAGGACCATTATAAACTAGTACAATTAAAACTGAATGGTTTTGCTTTCTAATAGGAATAGGATTATTGGTTTCCAATAGAGACCACTAGTTTCCTGTACATTTAGAATCAGCTCTTGGTGACCTGTTAAATCATTAGGATCATTTACATTGTGTTTTCAACCCATTTTAAAAGCCAAAACACAGAACAAAATCATTAGGAACCAACAGAAACACTTGATGATTTCTATGGGTTTTTTCAGCAGGGATTTACTGTTCAGGAAAATTCAGGGGAGCTAAACTCACTGGGGGTAAGAGAAACATAACATGCTAATTAGCTGAACAGGACACAGTTTACCACAACCAAAATGTTCACCCAGGTCACCTTTAAGACAACAACAGCCAACACATTAAACTGAGCTAAACAAAGACTGCTGAGAGGTGCACGGCATTCTGGGAGACCTCTACATGCTCCTTTCTGCTCTCCCCATTGGCCCAAATCTCGATTTTTAATCGAGAAAACTATTATGTAGAATCGACTCTTGGAATCGACTCCAGTTGAATCGAACGCACTGGTGTCTTTTAGTAGTTGGTTCAGTAATGTGAATCATCAGTGAAATGGCAGTGAATGTTATCAAAATAATTTATTCAATTTTTTCCCATTTTATTTTCTTGCTACTTGAGGCTAACAAACAAACGGCGATTTGGTGTTCTTTGGTTGCCTTGATAACGACACTGGCAACAACGATCTTTGAGAGACTTTAAGGCCAACATTTCATACTTTTTAATATTTTGTTGTTTACTATAAAACGCACGTTTGATGCTTTATTGTTCCGTGACTTTACCTCAGATCCATAGAAAGGATTCGGAGTCTGAAACTCCAGAACTATTCGGCAGTGTGATTCCCACACTCTCCACCAGGTGGTGCAATATTTCTCCACTTTCCCCCACCTGTTTTTCTGGAGTCACGCCTCCCTTGCTGCAGGATTGACTAGTACCGTTCAGCTCTCTCGCTTTCTGCTTGTGAATACGGACTGTAGCCAATCAGAGCACAGGAAAAGAGACCACACTAGCCAATCCTAGCGCACGGGGGCGGGGCCTGTTGGAATACGTGTGTGAAAAAAAAACAACACTTGGAAAGCTGAGCTTGGAAACTGAGATCGTGCAAAGAGCGCGGAGAAGAGGAGAACCCGCTCGTCGCCGACACAGAGAGAGAGAGAGAGAGAGTTATAGAGAATGAGTGGGAGAGGACATTAGACAGAAGGAGCCGGTGAGATGGTAGTTCTCGCTCTTCCTCGCGCCTGGCTGCCCTCTTATTTCTCCTGTAGTCAGTTCTAACAGGACTTTATTATCACCGTTATTAACTTATCAGCAGTGTTATCGGGCCCGTCACTCGGTGGACTTGCTCTCCTCACTCCGTAGCGATGCTGTGGAGAGCGGCGCTCGCGCTTGCGCTGATGCTGCTGCCGCACACGGAGCCCCGCGCGCCGCTAGACTTCGGTCTGGTCCCCGGAGGAGTGTATGAGACGGTGGCCCACTACGAGCCGGGGCCCATCGGGCTCCTCTTCAACATGGTGCACGCCTTCCTGCACGTGGTCCAGCCCAACCCGTTCCCTGAAGGTGAGTCCTGCATTTGGGCGAGGTGATGATGGTGGTGGTGGTGATGATGGTTATGGAAGTGATGGAGGTGATGATGGTTACAGAGATACAGGTGATGATGGTGGGGTGGGGGGTGGGGGGTTGGGGGTTGGAGGGTGGGAGAAGGGGATCCGGACAGGTACACCTGGACACCTGTCTGGATACCTGTCTGGTGTCTGGTTTGACCTTTTAAAGACATTCAGTTAAAAATGTGAAATTTTTGTGTTCTTTTAACTTTCACTCATATCAGCTCAGCTTAGATTCCACAGTGTTGTTTATGTTCGTCGTGATCTGGGTTTGTGTTTGTATTAGGGGTGGTGCGATGTGACGATATATTATTGTTATCGTGATACATTATGTCACAATATGAGTATTTCTGAGTATATTGTGGATATCGTTAGTACGTAAAAAGAAAACTGACCACCTATGTGTCTGATTACAAAGTGAGCATAATTAGGCCTATTTAATTGGATCTGGTGCAGTACAAATTTTGAAACATTAAATGAAGATCACTTGTAGGTTTTTTATTAATATTATTATTGTTGTTGTTGTTGTTGTTGTTGTTTGTTTAATGCAGCACTATAGACTATTTTGTCTGTTCCAGCTTATTAATTATAAGAAAAACTAAATATTGTGATGCGTTGTTGTTGCAATATCGTGAAAATGCCTTAAAACATCCTGATATAACATTTTGACCATATCGCTCATCCCTAGCTGGTGTCACTCACTGTTGGAGTTTCACAGTGAACTCAGCTTTTAAAGACAACCATCTTATTTACTGTTCTGTGTTAAAACGAGGAATTTTCATTGCGTTAGGGTTTAGAGTTTGAGTTAAAGGGCAAGTCCACCCATTTTTTAATTCAGTCATTGATATGTATGTCATTTAGGGTGGTTTGTACAGCACTTCATATACACATATACAAGGTTTTGTCCCCACAGCAGCTATATATAAATATACATATATACAGGCGTTAACCGCTTTGGACGTTTGGTTCCTATCACTAGCATTGTGCACAATTCTGACTCAATAAGTGTCTCCGGCACACAACATTTCGCATAAACCACTTTAAATTACTTTGTTTACATCTTAACCATTTAATTATGCAGATTCTGAAAAGAATTCATCTCAAAGGTTGAGGATGAAACCAGTCACTTTTAAAAGTCATCTTTGTCAGCTAATCAGAAACATCAGTTTTATTGGTAAACTAGGAACTGCTAAAAGTCCTTTGTTACTCTATCAATACTTTGGTGCCAAATCAATGCAATCAAATAAGGTAACGGCATTCTTGTTCCACCACAGTGGTAGTACAGAGCCAAAATAGCTTGAGCTCCTGTTGCTCGTTGTTGTTATCCAGCTCCATTCTGTCTGAACTGTATTATCCAGCTCGCCAGCAGTTTGTCCCTGTACACTGTGCCTGTTATCAACAGGTAGATCTGAGACGTTGAGGCTTTATGAGGCTTGACTGCTCCAGTGGGGAAAGCCCTGTAACGGATTACACGTACTTCTTTTACTAGCGTGTTGCATTTTGTTTTGTTGTTTAGAATGCATTGGCCTGCTCTTTATTTCTTTAGCCACATAGCCCCAGGATATTGAGGCTTAATGGGGCTTGACTGGAAAATATTTCTGTGAAAATGTCAGTACTTATACATAAGTACAGTCTAAAGTAAATATTGTTCTTTGGACTTCACAATTACACTTCATATGCCTGCGTGCTGACCATTTTGTCTCGCTTTAGTTGCTCCATCTGTCAATCCAAGTAATCCCAGTAACAGAAAAATAGCTCATCTCCTTTAAATGTCCAGCAAGAATGTTAGAAAAAGGCGCTTTGACTTCTTTGCTCAGGTAGATTCATAGTGCAGTGTGTTTATGAAGGTTTTCAGGCGTTATTTAATAGTTGTAAGCCAAAGCTAATGGACGTTAATATTTTACTTATCTGCAGGGCTTCATTGCTTTGTTCAGTGCTTTTTCTCCCAAAGCAGATTCTCTCTGGAGTCAGAAACTGTCTGCACACTTTCTCAGAGCTCTGCCGGGGGCCCGAGAAAGAAATGTGTGGACACTGACAGGTACTGCGGTTCTTAGACCGCCTTATTCCTCTGTTCATCAATAGGATGTCTGGAGATTAGGGCTTGTGGCCCTGTGACTCACCCTTTAATGAGCTAATCCACTAATCTGGAATGCCATATGCTGATGCCCTTTTATTTTCCAGCCTGCTTCGGCCAGGTGCACTCATCTCCAGAACAATTAGTGAAGTAATGGTTCACATATTGGTTCTAATGATACGTTTATGAGAATTGCTTCAGTGTCTTTCTGAGCTAGCCTTTCTGAAGGTGGTCAGAAACTTCAGACTAGGCTATTAGTAATCTAGGAAGTGTGTTAATAGCTTTAATTCCTGTGCTAACTCAAATGAACTGCGTTATCTTTGTGCTGCATGTAGGCTGTAGTGTATGTTTTCTTTCTCCTTCTGTCCTTCTCTCGCCTCTTCCAACTCACACATACTTTTCTAGGTGCCAAAGACGCACCCATCCAACTCTCACTCCCAATGCACCATCACTGGAACTGTGGCTGTCCACTGAAAGTATGCTGAACTGCCCCCCCCCTTTTCCTTTCCAGCGTTGCAATCTAAAACAGCCACAGCTGTAGCCTTCTGGCAAATTAATTAGGATAATACAGCTCTCAGATGAGCACTGAAAATCCAGCTTGCTGTGTTTCAGCTAGAAGATGCTGTGTCTCAAATTGAGTGTTTCTGTGTGGTAGCCACTTTTAATGCACAACGGGAAATGAAACAGGTTGTAGTGTACTGTTAATGTTAGAGGTAGGAATCTGTAGACATGATTCAATTCAAAGTGCCAAGATGCGGTTATAAAATGAGTCATGACACATTGACACATCTCCATTTTTGGATTTCTGAAAAGTATGTTCCCATTCCTATTTTAAGTTTTTAAGTTAACCTCAGTGATTAGCTACACTTAAATGGTCAGCCACTTCCTGTTTCACTGGGGAATATATATGAAATGAAATCCCTCAGTCATCTGTCACTATGAGAAAGACTAGATAAAACAGCAATGATGTGCGACAAAAGGTTGCTGAGCTGCAAATCAGAAATGGCTACAAGGGAACAGCTAAACAGTTTAAATGCCTATTTCCACTATCAGGGCAGTAAAGAAGAAGTTTAAAACAACTGGAGATGTTAAGAATCTGCCGGGAAAAGGATGCATGTCTATACTGACCTTATGCACAGTGAGGAGAATGGCTTAAGTGGAATCTCCAAGGATCACAGATGGAGAATTGCAGACATTAGTTAGGTCTTGGGGTCACAACGTCTCCCAAACTACAATCAGACATCACCTATATAACCTATATAAGTTTGGGGGGTTGTCAGAAAAAGGATCAACACACTTAAGCTCCTACAGTATGCCAGATGATATTCTATGGACAAGTGTGTGTATGTATATATACATACACACACACACACACACACACACACACACATATATATATATATATATATATATATATATATATATATATATATATATATATATATACACTTGGTTGGTAGCACATTTGGCTTGAACCTGTCTAACTACATTAAACCTTTTACTCCGTGTGGTGCTCTGTGCTCCACTGCTGCATAAGAATATAGTGCGTAGTGCCTGAATAGAGACGCAGGGAGAGACAAGCGGCTAGAATCAGAGAGCATAAAATCACTTCATCTCTGCCGTTTTTCTTTTCATGGCCATACCATTGTTTAATGCTCTTAAATTACTTCCAGACTAATGACACTGCATGCGTTGTTTTGATGTAACTGTTATTTTCTTCCAATCCAGTTACAGGCAGTTGCCATCATACTCCATCATATACAGTATGACAGCAATACCCATCACGCAGGCAAGATGTGAATGAATCCTGCCATCTTTTCAGCCCATTGGCTGCTCAGCATTGCTATGCTGCGTCCTTGTGTCTTAGTCTGATTGTCCACTTTGGCTCGTCTGGCCTTTATAGATGCTTGCAGTGACAGACGAACATACAGAACTGAAGACTCACAGTCCTTCTGTAAGCCTGTCCTGAACAGTAGCGCACCATCGAACGAGGAAAGTGCAGGAGTGTCTCCGATAAACTGTTGCCACGGCAACAGAACAATATCATAGTGTGCGTCTTTGGATTTCTGTGGCCTACATATGTCTGAGCAGTGCACTGGTGTCAATCAATCATAAGAAAATGAGTTGAACCCTTTGAAAAGATTCATGACACTCCTGAAGCATGTAGTATCAGACTGCCCTGCCTCACACTTGACCAGGGTCATTTTAGTATCATGATGGAATACTGCTGATGGGCACTACTACTGATTTTAAGCTATGAAACATACTTTAATAGGTTAACGTACATCATGTAGTACCATAAAGCACATACATTTATTGGCTGTTTTATCAGGTACACCTAACAAGTATCTACACTGCAAAAAATGGTGTCTTGTAAAGTGAAATGATCTTAAATATAGTCAATAAATCTTTATTTATCCTGTTGAGATTGTTGTAAGATTAATTTAGGATTATTTATTTTGAGTTTTTTCTCAGAATACTGGAATGTGTGTGTGATTATTTGCATTGTAAGAAGCAGAAAATGCAACCAACTTCTAAGACTGAACTTTGGAGGTGTGGAAACAAGTCCCTGCAAATTTGTTTGAAACAGTGAAAGCAAGTCTCTCGAAAAGAATAGAAGCTGTAAAAAAAAGCCGAAGTGGACACAATAAATATTGAAAAATGTTAACAGTATATTTTATATTATATTGCTATTATATTTACATTTTCATTTTTTTTTGTCTATTTTTATACATCATTTGAGCACAGCAGCTGCACTTTATATTGTCTCAAGCACTTTTTACTTCTACAATTACAGAATAAAGTCAGTCTGTTTCTTTGCACAAACTAATGTGTTAAATAGAATGATCCACCATCCCAGTAAAATCTCCTCAGTGGTTCTG